GTGTTTGACATCTAGCGAGGCTGAATGCCAGACCTGGACAACTGGCAGTTCCATTGTCACACACTCGGTGATTGTTTGCTAACAAACATACAAATGGTTTTTATTTGATTTCAATGAAGAAAGTTGATCGCATTAATGCTCCTAATGCTCCGAAAATTGGGGCTTTTCCTTGATGAATCTCTGATATTTTGGCCACTTTCAGAACGAAAAAATTGTGACAGGAAATACGCAAGTACGTCCAGTGTGAAACGGAATTGCTCTTCGGCTGTGCAGCGAATTGATAAACCTATATGAAAAAGATACTTCCCCAAAATGTAACTGAAGGAAGTAAACAATCGCTTTAGGAAAGATGATTCACAATCCACCTCATGCCACATTTTTTTAGTTGGTATACCAAGAGTTCCACATCGTTTCCCATCAAGCTGTGCCCGAAACCCGAAATTCTTTAGCCACAACCCGCAGCGTTTTAGGCATCGATGCACAAACTTTACTCATACGGCTAGTCAGATCGAAACAGATCCGAATTGTTTGTACCCAAGCATTTGTGGATGTCGGACTAGTCCCCGCGGTCAGATTACTTCCAGACGGTGGTGACCCGGCGGTAACGTCACAAAATTATCACCCTGTAGGGATGTGTGTTCGAATCCCGCTACTACCGCCTCACTTTCCTCATTGTGTTGAATGGCAGCTCATTGATTGGTCACTCCCACCTTTACTGAAAATTCTGTCGTTGTATATTCAATAAAAGGAAGTAAAATGAAAGGAAAGAAAGAAAGATTAACTGATTGCATCACAGAATCTGCCTAATTTCCGTGAACTTTCAGGCAACAAGGCACAACGCTGCGAACCAAGCCATACTAAGCAAATTCGAGATAAAAAGATCTCCGTAAGAAATAAAAGCGTTTTGAACCAGCTTGATACATCACAGAGCAAACACAATTTGTTCAACACAGATACTTGTCTTTACCGAGCAAGTGCAATTTTTCGCTATTCGTTTTTCGTGCACAGCGACATCCGATCAGTCAACCACATACACTAGCGTTTTGCTTGTGATAGAGTCAATACTTTTAAGCTTGTTGAACAGGCCATCAATGTGGCCAAAATTCAACACCATGAATCTTCTCTTTCGTTTATCGAGGTGGA